TGGTCTCTATACAGACCAATGGGTCTTTATAAAGACCTTTGGTCTCTATACAGACCAATGGGTCTATATAAAGACCTTTGGTCTCTATACAGACCAATGGGTCTATATAAAGACCTTTGGTCTCTATACAGACCAATGGGTCTATATAAAGACCTTTGGTCTCTATACAGACCAGTGGGTCTATATAAAGACCTTTGGTCTCTATACAGACCAATGGGTCTATATAAAGACCTTTGGTCTCTATACAGACCAATGGGTCTATATAAAGACCTTTGGTCTCTATACAGACCAATGGGTCTATATAAAGACCTTTGGTCTCTATACAGACCAATGGGTCTATATAAAGACCTTTGGTCTCTATACAGACCAATGGGTCTATATAAAGACCTTTGGTCTCTATACAGACCAATGGGTCTATATAAAGACCTTTGGTCTCTGTACATACCAATGGGTCTATATAAAGACCTTTGGTCTCTATACAGACCAATGTGTCTTTATAAAGACCTTTGGTCTCTATACAGACCAATGTGTCTTTATAAAGACCTTGGGTCTCTATACAGACCAATTGATCTTTATAAAGACCTGTGGTCTCTATACAGACCAATTGGTCTTTATAAGGCCATTGTCGATATTTGAAATCATGAATGGAGGTTGTATCCATATTCCTATTTTTTCTACTTCCTGTAATTCATATTTTCAATAATATATGGATATCGAAATGCCGTTAACAATTGACAATGTTATTGAAAGTGTTTAGTTTATTTTGTCATATGTCACACACATACATAGATAACGATTTATGTATAGATGTCATAATATTATAACCAATTCATGTAATCTAAGTAACTAATTGATGGTTAACCTCTATATACGTATATCCGTCAGCTACAAACGCTTCGTTAACATCTTGAAAACGGAGGTTATCACATTCAATATCAATATCTCTCAAAATGTGCATTAGTCGTTCGATAGGCGATTGATACCGCCGATGCTGCTGACGATTTGGTCTATTTGCTTTCAAATATCTGCATATCAGTGATGCATACTTTTGAGATTTTATATTGTACGCACACTAAGAGAATAACATCGAAGGCGAACAGCTATAAATATGAGGTCAGTGGAAATTAAATTGAAAATATGACAACTTAGTTATTCTATCATAATCTGAAATTCCTTTATGAACTGGAATTCATAGCAGACATATAATATATTTTTTCTCTTATCCTTGCAAACCCGAAATGTGCAATTGTGTGCGGGTGCCAATCTGCGGCATTGCGTTTGAAGGTTATGAGGTCATGATTGTTGTTTCCTTTTTATTTCAGTTATAAGAAAATGAAAAAGGAAGTACATGTCGTGACTTTACGAAAATTAGAAGTAATTTCGTTTAAAGTTATTAAGGCGAAGAAATCAAAACGTCATTGCTGACCTTTAAACTTTCGTTTGTCATAATTGTAGAGAACGTTGTTCGGATAATATGTTACAATACCTAGTTTAACACTTTTTTAAGATTATTCGGTTTGAAAAGGTGGATCAAGAGTTTATAACGGCACGAAATATTGGTCCTATGCCACCCTTTGGTAAAGTTTTTTTGTAATATTTAAGGACTTTATGAACCAAACACGTTATTATTCCAAAACCTGGGACTAAGCGAATACCCACGATTGAAAGGTCAGTCCATGGACTTTCAGTATATATACAGTTTGTATTCCAAATCAATTTCGTATATTGCAAATTTTTTAATTTTATTTTTATTGTAAATTTTCTGGTAATAAATATGGTTCAACTGTTGGGCTCTCTGTTCCGAAATTACAAAACCTAGGACTAAACGAATAACCCCGATTGAAAGGTCAGTCCATGGGCTTTTAGAATATATATGTATAGCTTATATTCGAAATCAATTTCGGACTTTATTTCTAACGTAAATAGTTTGGTAATTGATATGCTCCAATTGTTAGGCCTACTGTTCGAAAATTCCAAAACTTGGGACTAAGCGAATCCCTACGATTAAAAGGTCAGTCCATGGACTTTCAGAATTTATATAGTTTATACTCGAAATCAATTTCGGATATTGACAAATTTTCGACTTTTTTAAATTGTAAAATGTTAAAGTAGGTCTGGTAATTTATATATACCACATGTTAGGCCCCGACATTGCAAAAGCTGGGACTAAGCTAATACCCACGATTGAAAGGTCAGTCCAAGGGCTTTCAGAACATATATATAGTTCATATTCGAAATCAATTTCGGATATTGAAAATGTTTCGACTTTATTTCAATTGTAAATAGTTTGGTAATTGATATGGTCCAATTGTTAGGCCTACTGTTCGAAAATTCCAAAACTTGGGACTAAGCGAATCCCTACGATTAAAAGGTCAGTCCATGGGCTTTCAGAATTTATATAGTTTATACTCGAAATCAATTTCGGATATTGACAAATTTTCGACTTTTTTAAATTGTAAAATGTTACAGTAGGTCTGATAATTTATATATACCACATGTTAGGCCCACTATCCCGACATTGCCAAAGCTGGGACTAAGCGAATACCCACGATTGAAAGGTCAGTCCATGGGCTTTCAGAATATATATAGTTTATATTCGAAATCAATTTCGGATATTGAAAATGTTTCGACTTTATTTCAATTGTAAATAGTTTTGTGATTGATATGGTCCAATTGTTAGGCCTACTGTTCGAAAATTCTAAAACCTGGGACTAAGCGAATCCCCACGATTGAAAGGTCAGTCCATTGGCTTTCAAAATATATACAGTTTATACTCGAAATCAATTTCGGATATTGACAAATTTTCGACTTTTTTAAATTGTACAATTTTACAGTAGGTCTGGTAATTTATATATACCACATGTTAGGCCCACTATCCCGACATTGCCAAAGCTGGGACTAAGCGAATACCCACAATTGAAAGGCCAGTCCATGGGCTTTCAGAATATAAACAGTTTATATTCGAAATCAATGGCGGATATTGAACATTTTTTGACTTTATTTAAATTGTAAATTTTAAAGTAGGTCTAGTAATTTCTATGGCCCGCTGTCCCGAAATTGCAAAAGCTGGGTTCTAAGCGAATACCCTCGATTGAAAGGCCAGTCCATGGACTTTCAGAATATATACAGTTCATATTCGAAATCAATTTCGAATGTTGAAAATTCTTCGACTTTATTTAAATTCTAAATTTTCTGGTAACTGATATGGTCCAATTGTTAGGCCCACTGTTCGAAAATTCCAAACACTGGGACGAAGCGAATACCTTCGATAAGGCAGGACATTTATATGCTGCCCATATGATGCGAATGTACTCTTCGATGAAGTTTTTCACTCGCAAGAATTTGAAAATAGATGCGTAAGACCAACCACTTATTACCTAAAACAGGGTTGCACAAGTATATGGGAACTGACTGACTGACGATATATAAATTTTTCTCAATGTTGATTTGTTGCATTACTTCATTGAGGACAAGGTCATAATTTGAATCCGTTCGTTCCTCTAAATCTATTAATAAAATCAATAGTGAACTCATAATTCGCATTTTCAATGAATTAATTGTTTGCGGAGATTTCCAATTCATAAATACAACCCATTGATTAGTGAGGAAGATACCCTAGTAAATATGATTAGAAACTTAGTGTGTAAAACAGTGGGGTCGAATGAAATGCTTACATTGGGGAGGGTCAAATATTGTCATTACATATACATAGAACTACACTTGGATTTCGAATATGGAACCTCAAATTTTTTTTTCTTCCAAGAAATGTCTTTTTACGCCAATGTCCATGTTCTGAGCAGGAATTCCATTACTCATACGCACCCCTCTTATCAAACGGATAGTGTTAAGGAACAATAAATACAACTTATTGTTATTGTTGTTGTTCAATACCAATAGCAAATGAATGAAATATGTTGCAATGCCACTACCACAATGACAACCCATCCAACAAAACCAACAACAAAATTAAATTAAAAATGTTGCACCATTATTTTCATAGCCAAAAATGCCACATCTAAATATTTACCGCAATTAATTTTGAGTAGAACTCAAATTTCCAGCTCAAAAGTGGAAGAAAAAAAAACAATGGCAAAAAAACCGAAAATAATTTTCAACATTAGAGCAAGTGGTGGTTAGCAGGCCCAACGATTTGTCCGTCCATCCAACCGTCCCTTTTGGATTTTGAAAAAAAATAGAAAAAAAACCTGTAAACATGTGTAATCCAAAACCCTATGGATTGGAGATGACAAACGCACACACTCACATGCATACATGGGTATTGCAAAAATCATAAAATCAACAACAACTACAACTACACCGACGACGACACATCACTTACACTTACTGCCGTTAAGACACTTTGTTTGTTCGCGGTTGGTTTGGCCCTGTTTTGTTGTTTTTGTTTTTCTAGTGCAGTGCAGGGCAGCAGCCATCTAGCAGTCGGTGCAATTCTCTGTATAGAAAACGAATTTATAAAAAGCCTACAAAACGCTCAGAAGAGAACAGATTCGTTTAAGTGGGCGTTGGAAACGGTGGTGATTTGATGTCAATACGACAAGTGGTGACAAGTAGCCAGAAGAAAAAAAAAACACACACACACAAAAACAATAACAGAAAAACGGAAATTTGAAATGGTCTCGGCAAAAGGATTAATAAAAAGGATAATGTGTGCCCTGACCTCCAACGAAAAAGAGGGGGCTAATTAAAATGAACAATTTTGAATTAATTAAAGGCAACAATTTTCAAAGAATTTTTCCGGGAAACCCCACAAGTGCACATGAAGTGAAACATACACACAGCCTCAATGAGGAAATAAATTTAAAAATATTTGAAAAAAAAACACAAAAGCAAGTTGAAAATTTTAATCCTCTGATCCCTCCTCCAAAAAGTATTTTTTTTACAACTCCCTCCTACCCCTCCTATTGGACCTGGACTCTACTTTTGATACTATGCAAAATACTGTCGATTGTAACGAAAATATCGATTTAACAAACAAAAAGTTTGAAACCTGGCCAGGAACACAACCAGCATCCTTGGAACTACTACCCTGTGCTGGAACAGCAGCAACAACAACTGAAAGTTGCCACCCAGTGTTAGGGGAAAACTCACGAGCCATTCACTCAGATCCCGAGGAAAGGCAAACCAAGGAAAAGGTACGTTCACGATTTTCCACAGCCCTACGGAAACTTTCAAGGTCCACAAGGAAAAAAGATAAATTAGCGGCAGGAAAATCCTCTTCGGAAACTGCAGCAGGCTCAGCTGCTGCCTCAGATTTAATTCTCTCAAGTGATGCTGATGATCGAAGTTCTTCGCCAGTGACCAAAACTAAAATAAAAAAGAAAAAATCTTCTTTATTCAGTTTGAAATCCAAAGCCAAGGTTGCCCCTAAAAAGGATTGCGAAGGGGAGGAGGAGGAGCATACAATTCCAGCCACAGGGCAACGTATTTTGGAACCTCTATTTCATGATACCGAAAATGAGGTGGTGGTGACCACAGAACGTTTATCGCCCACCGAGGGAAAACGTAAGGTACAAATAACCATCAAGTCGAAGAAAATTGAAAAAGTGGCGGATTCCGAACCAGCAGATAGGTGTCCACCATCTTCGCCATCTCCCACACCAACAGCGTTATCACAATCCTCGCCTAGCACAACCCCACCATTGGGTCGGCAAATTAAGAACGAGAACATCACCTCAGCCCCCACCCCACCATCGTCGTCATCAACCAAGGAAGATAAAAAGAAAAAACTCAAAGGTAAATTAAAAACTCAAACGAAGGCGACAACACCACTGCCGCCAAGCATTTCGCCATCGCCGCCACCGCCCAACTCAAACCAACCGCAAAATAACGAAATTCAATCTGAAACCAAAGTGCTGTCGGCAACAGAAGACGCTTCATTGCCAGCCAATCAAGCATCTCAGCCGACGCAACAGCAGCCGCAGTCGCAGCAGCAACACCAGCCTCCAGTAACTTCTCAAGATAAATCATCAGTTCATAACTTATCAGCTAATCAAACAGACGATCACATCTCGGTGGCGGAAAGTGTACAGCCTAGTAGTACAACATCAGCGGAGGATATAACAACCAACAAGGATACACCCACTTCAACCAATCAGCCCACCGTACGCTTCACCCTTGGCAATCGTGTACGACCCCCGCTAATTATTGCCAAACAGTTGGCCTACGAACCATCA